ATTCTGGTTTTGCCTCTCTCTATTCTCCCTGCATGTTACTCCAGTTCCTGCCCTCCCTTTTGGGGCTGTTTCTCCATAAGGGAAAGGTTCTCTGAGGCCCCTCCCATCCCTGAGAGTCTCTGGTTCTGAGTTTTGAGATGCAAAGGCAGAGGGAGATGTGCATGTGAGTGTGTGTTGAGTGTTTCTATCTTTAGACGGCAGGGAGAGCTGGGACCCAGTCCCAGCTGGGCTGGAGGTCTCAGAGGAACTAGTCTTGTCCTCCCCCTTGCCGGTCTCCTCTGGGGACAAAGCTGCCAGAGAAGGTCAATAGCACCCTGAACCAGCACTATGCCCTAAGCAGAGAGAGGGGGAAGAGGCAGGCTGGGCTGCCTTTATGTGCTCCGGTTTCAGCAGCCTCCGTATTAATGCTTCCGTCACTGCCCCGGCAGAGCCAGAGAGCACTGAGACCAGGGATGAGCACTGGACTCTCTCCAGGGCTTGCTGATTGGCAAGTATAAGGTACAGATCAGCCAGCCAGCCTGTCCTCTGCCTCTTGAATGGACAGTTAGAGCCCTTGGCTCAGCTCTGGGCATCTGCAGAGGCAAAGATCCCTTGGTGTTCATAACAACCATTGCCAGGAGCAGGGGAGGATAGGTTGAGTCCCAACCCCAGCCTAAGATCTGAGTCTCAAACCCAACCCTAGGCAGAGCACTGTCCCCAGTCCCGGGCGAAGCCCTACCCCACAGGGTCCCACATAGGCCAGAATGTGGCAGGCAGGGTCAGCCCACGTCTTCACTGGGAAATAGTCTCATTCATGCACAAAGGAGGGCGCTCCACACGTGGATCGCAGTACAGGGGGAAAGGGAGACATCAAGCTTATGAATGTGCTTGTCACCAGAGCCACCACGCAGGGGAATTAGCTATCTTGGGGTGTGGGGAGTGCCCAGCGACAAGAGGCCAAGACTTCTTGCCCCACGTGCAACTTTCTGCAGAGCAGAATGGCCTGGGACACTTGGATCGTTCTTCACTGGGAGAGCACATGTAATAGAGATTCCTCTGGGAAGTGACTATTTTAACAGTAGAGCCAAAAGATGTTCTGCATCCTGATGGACAGTCAGGGCCCGAGCACAGACCCATGGACCCAAGGTGCCCTGGCTTCCAGGATGAGGGGCATTTCTTCATGGACCTTTTTACAAGCACAATTGTTTGTTACCCTAGATGTGACAGAGAGGAAACAGCTTTGGAACGAGTTGGCTTTTATAGCTCACTTGAGTGTTTGAAAATAGGTGAATGAGGAAGAAATTGTAGAGAGCTAAAAATTTCCTCAATTAGGTTACATCCAACTGCAAATAAAGTCTGGGCCTTTTTGCTAACTAAGGAAGCAGAGGCAGAGGGGAGGCCCCTGGGACGGAGAGGGGCTCTCACGCTGGGCACTGGGGGAGAGGTATTGGGATGGTTGTGTGCCCCCAGGCTGGTGAGACAGGTTGCAGGTAAGTTCAGGGAAGTGTGACACCTGCGTGTCAGGAGCAGTATGGGGTGAGGTAGGAGCTCCTGGCCCACCTCTGACGTCAGCTGCAGTGGCAGGGGACAGTTTCAGACATCCTGGTCCTCCAGAGGGCACAGCCTAATAGGCAGGCAGAGCGCACTGGAAACACGCACAGCATCTCACGGTCATTGCCTCCACAGAATCACCCACTTCCTCCCATTCATCCCACCATCCATCACATGTCAGCTGGAAAACAGGGTTTGAGGAGATAGTCTGTCTCTGCCTCTCTGAGGGGCGATGCCTGGTCAGACGGAATACACAAGGAGTGGGCAGGTCCGGGTCAACGCTGTGGGGTTTTCTGGGCGTTTTCATGGGTCTGCTCAGGGCATGGAGTCTTGGGAGAGGCCAGAAGGTGCCTTACGCTTGTCTGGTGGCACTGAAGATCGTGGCCCCAGGGCAGACGCTTCTCCCCTACACATCCTACGCCATCCTGGCACAGGAGGGTGGCCAAGGGGAGATGATATCTTCAAGTCCAACCATGGGCCAGGCTGTGGGATCAGGAAGGGCCCTCAGACACTTTCCAGTCCCACATTCTCATTTATAGGTGGACAAAGGGAATTTCTCCCTCCGACCTCTCCTGGGCCATCTTCAACTCTGCAGCAGCCAGACTGGGCTCCCTGTTTCTTCCACTGGGCAGCTGAAGTGATTTTTCTACAATTAAGGTCATGGCGTTCCTCCTAAGAGTGGCTCCCCATTGCCCTCAGGATGGAGCCCAGCTTCTTTGGCAGTGCAAAGAACACTCTTCAAGATTGTCTATCCTTCCTGCTCTCCCTCCTGCCAACCTGGAGATGCTTTTTGGAACAACTTGTCATTCCCTGGAACCATTGTATACCCCCACACTTTTGCATGTGCTGTTCCCTCTGCCGGGATGCCCTTACCGCTCTACACTCCAGTTAGCCTAGCTGACTCCCGCTTGCCCTTCAAACGTTCAGCTTGGCTCTCCCCTTCTTGGTCTTGTCTGGGTTGGGTGGCCCTCCTCATTGCCTCCATCTCTTGGGGCTGATCTATATCACGCCAAGGTTGTTAGTTTTTTACTGTCTCCTCTATCAACCCATGGCTCCCTGAGGGCAGGGCTGGCCATGTTCACTGACTGGTCCCCAGCACCCATCAGAATGCTCTAGGCCTTGGCAGCAGCTTTGTCTCCCTGACCAAGACTCTTTTCCCATTTGACCAGCCTTGATGTGTGTGCGTGTGTGTGTGTGTGTGTGTGTGTGTGTGTGTGTGCACGCATGTTGGAATGGGGAGTTGCTTTATTTCAGGGGATCCATGAATCCATTGGGATCCTTATGTTGCCTAAAGACCGAATAAATAATATGCCATACAGTCTATGCCCTAATAGGTGCCTCTGTGATGAACAAAACAAATAATCCATTTAAAGCCTGTCTGAAGTCTCTTGTGGTTATGTGTGGTTTTCCTTGATTTGCACCTCAGAGGCATACAATTTAACTGGTCATAGCCTTTGACTTATGACCACCTGTCATCGTTAGCCCACACATGGCCCAAATTTATTTTATTTTAATTTTTTCTTTTATGGAAGTTTGGGTACAGTGGTAAATACACGGAATCTATCACCAAATCCAAAACTAGATCGTTGCCAGTCACTTCCATATTTATCTAAATATTCCTTCCCCGGAGGGAACATTTTCTTGGACATTTCATTGATCATTCCCTTGCTCTTAGTTTTTCGGTTTTATCATATGTACGTATGTCTAAAGAACAGATTGGTTTTACTTGTGTCCGCACTTTATGTTAGTCATGGTCCATTTTCTCAATCGGTGGAGATCACTGAAATCATGAAAGGAGATCATTTTCCTGTGGGAACCTCAGGTTGAAGGGCATCTTTTTTTTTACGTTTATTTATTTTTGAGACAGAGACAGCATGAAGGAGGGCAGAGGAGGGAGACACAGAATCTAGAGCAGGCTCCAGGCTCTGAGCTGTCAGCACAGAGCCCGACGCGGGGCTCGAACTCACGGACCTCGAGATCATGACCTGAGCCGAAGTCGGATGCTTAACCGACTGAGCCACCCAGGCGCCCCGAAGGGCATCTTATCTGTCTGAGTCCCAACCTAAGGGCATGGTGAGTGAAGGAAGGTGAGTCCCACCACTGCTGCTGCTAGGAAGCATCATCAGTGATATGGTGGAGGCATATTTCATGACGTGGGAAAGCGCTCACCCTGAGTTATAAGACCAAAAAAGCAGGTTACAGAATTGTGGACACAGGATCATCCCAGTTTGGTCAAAAAACATGGGGCTCTCTAGACCGATAGACTCCTGGGGGATATAATAATAAAAATTCCCAGATGGTGGGATGATGAGTCCTCGTGGTGTTCTTTGATTTGTAAAAACATCCCCCCCCAAATTTATATTAATGTAATGTACCCCATTTACAAATGGATGAATGATATTATCAGTTACGTAGGGGAGGCCTATTTGGAAAAGTTGAACCCCTCCCCACTAGACTCAGACCCGTATCCACCAGGGGTCAGGGGAAGGTGAGGATCTGTGCCATGTACCGGAGAAGGCAGGGGGTTTGTTGATAAACCAGTGTTTCCTTCCCGACAGCAGAGAGCTCTGGTCGGGGACCCCCTGAAATAGGGGTCTTTCATTACCTGGCTCATGGAGCATGCTGGGTGTCTCCGTGACCTCTCGTTCAAACTCCAGAGTAAGCCTCTGAGCCTGACTTAGATCTGTTCCTAACAGACAAGGAAACTGAGGCTCAGACGGTCTTATGGGCTGAATGGCTGAATTATGTCCCCCCCAAATCTATATGTTAAAGTCCTAACCCCCAATAACTCAGAATGTGACCTTATTTGGAGACAGGTAATGAAATTAAGACGAGGTCGTCAGTGTCGGACCTCATCCAAATGTGACTGGGGTCCTTGCAAGAAAAGGAATCGAGAGGTGCCTGGGTGGCTCAGTGGCTTAAACGCCGACTTGGTTTCAGCTCAGGTCATGATCTCACAGTTCGTGAGTTTGAGCCTCACGTGGCAGAGTGCAGAGCCTGCTTGGGATTCGTTCTCTCCTCTCTCTCTCTCTCTCTCTCTCTCTCTCTCTGCCCCTACCCTGCTTGTGCTCTCTCTCTCTCCAAATAAATAAACTTAACAAAATTAAAAATGAGTAAAATAAACAAAATTTTAAAAACAAACAAGAAGAAGAACCAAGGACCCAGACATGCACAAAAGAAAGAGCACGTGAAGACAAAAGGGAGGAGATGGCCACTGCAAGCCAAGGACAGAGGCCTCAGAAGAAACCACCTCTGCTGACACCTTGATCTTGGACTTCTAGCCTCCAGAATTGTGAGAAAATATATTTCCCCTGTTTAAGCCACCCGGTCTGTGGTATGTTACATCAGCCCTCACAAACTAATACAGATGGCTTAGGTGACTCAGCCATTGCTTCTAGGTGGAGAAGGCGGGACCCAGACTTGGGTCTGTCTGACCCCTGCACTGAAAGGCAGGCTGGTAACAGGGCCGTTCTCCTGGACACCTGACCCAGGCTGCGTGTGGGGCTGGGCCCCATTGCTGGGCAGCACCCTTACCTCCTTGTTGCCTTGCCAGCAACTTCAGATCCTGGGGCCCTCCCCAGGCCTCCTCCTTCCCTGCTGCTACCGTGGGTGCAGACCTGAGACCACCACGACACCAGGCAGGGCTTGGGGACTGCTCTCCAGAGCCCATGAGAGCCCAAGGCTTTTCTGAGCTCCGCAGGTGGCTGACCCTGACTCCAAGTCGGTGGGGGGGGGGGGGGGGGGGGGGGGACTCTGAGGAGTCAGAATTCAGAGGCCCAGCTGCTGTCTTGCAAGTCCTTACCAGGAGGTGACACCTGTAGCCACGGCAACCAGAGAATGTGGTTGACATCTTCTGCCGGTCTTGCTCAAGTTTATAAACAGAGGGTTACCTCCTCCTTGGGCTCTCGAATGCCAGCCCGGCTAGCTTCCGTTACGTGCGGGGAGCTGGGAGCTGAGGGCTGGAGGAGGATGTCCAGCCAAGTCCTTCATCATCAGTGAAGGGCCAGAGCCCCAAACGGGGAAGGGGCCTGCTCAAGGACAGAAGCCGGCATCCGCCACCCCACATGGCTTGGGCTGGTCCAGGAGAGCGACCTCCTCCCTCCTGGCCCTGAGGCTCACCGTTCTCTCTTGGGGTCTGCCCCAGGGTGGCGGCGGTGGGCTTACCTGAGAGGTTGGCGAGAGTCATCACTGCCCGGCAGTATTGCTCCAGCATTGCCCACAGGGGCTGGTCTATGGGCACCTGGCTTGGCCCGGCAGCCTAGGGGATAGGACGGATGAGGGTCAGAGGTCAGGCCCTGGCTAGCCCCTGTAGCACCCGTCTGCTCCCCTTACCCGGTTCTGTCACTCATGCATGCAGCGGAATGGCAGCCTGGCCTGGCCAGGAACCCCAGAAAGGTCTCAGAAGTGTTCCAGTGCAGCTTGACCTCGGAGGCAGGGATCTGTGCTTTCTAGCCCCTGGCATCCAAAGCTCTCCTCCTCAGGACGGGATGTGCCCCGTGTCCTTCGGTCAGCAAAGCCAGGTGGGGAGTCCATCAGCTGTTTGTTTACCTAACAAATATTTGTAGAATGCCTGCTATGTGTCTGGCCCTAGTTGGAAGACCCAATGGCTGTCCTTGGGGTAGTCCCAGGCCAGGCAGGGATCCCCTAAACTTAGAAGGTACAGAAGGGAGGGGAGGAGAGGAGACAGTGTAACTTTGTTTCCCTCTCACACAGGGAAACAGGCAGTTACAACAAAAGGTGTCTCCCCGTGGAAGAGATTTCCCTGGATTTGGGAAAGCAGGGAAGGCTTCCTGGAAGAGGTAGCACTTTGGGGGCAAGCAGAAGAATGAGTAGGGGAAAAGGAAGGGACCACTGTGCCAATGTGGACACTCACCAGGGAATAGACATGGTTGTTGCTACCATGGCAATTCCATCCAAAAGATAAAAAACCATCCAGGATCCCATCTTCTGAAAACACCATGAGAATCGGTGCTGGTCATGGAGGAATAAAGTAAAGGTGGTTATCTCTGCCCCTGAGGAGCCCATCTTCTGGCGGGAAAGAGGGATGGGTGACCAAGTTGCTACAGCATCGATAACTTGCTGAGGTGGAATGGGGTAGCATCTCGGAGAAGGTCATGCTGATGTGGGCTTTGAAGGCTGAGTAGGAGTTTGCCCAGCTGACAAGGATGGTGCCGGGAAGAGCATCCTAGGTAGAGAGCACAGCATGTGCAAAGGCAGAGAGTCTGGGAAATGGCGTGAGACTGAACGAAAGTAATGGACTCTAGAATTCTAACTCTTGCATGCTATTTCTCCCAAGGGCACCACTTTTCCAACCCTGTGGCCTGTGTGTGTGTGTGTGTGTGTGTGTGTGTGTGTACGTGCACTTGTGTCCCCGTACGTATGTGCGTGTATACGCAAAATGACTTCTGTGCCTCTCCCAACCCTGACATTCCTGATTCCAAGATTGTAGAAGGCACTGCCCACCAGTGGGCAGCCCCTCCCCTTTCCCTGGCCAGTCACATGTTCTCTCCATGACAGCTGGGTCAATGTTTGCCCCGGGATGTCCCCAGAGCTAGAGCCCAACAGCCCTCAAACATCACGTTCCCCACATCTGGCTCGATCCATTTCCTGTGCCGGGCCTGGAGGCTGCACGTTTAGCCTCAGCAGGCTGGCCTGGAGCTCCTAATAAATGACCCCACCTGGCCAGATGGGTTTACACTGCCTGCTGCTTCTCGGAGAGCCGAGGGCAGCAGGGATGCCATTCATAGGGAGTCACTGCACCTGGGACCAGCCAACTCTCTCCGAGGAGGCTGGGTACAGAAGGAGGTGATGGGGAGCAGAGACATGTGTGCGTAAGGTGTATGTGTGTGGGGTATGTATTATGTCTGTGTAGCACCTGTGGTTGTGTGAGTAGTATATGTGTAGGGTGCATTGTGTGTGTGTGTGTGTGTGTGTGTGTGTGTGTGTGTCTGTAAGGGGCTCTCTGGGCCATGAGCTGGGAGCTCTGGTCTCTTGGCTTGCGGGACAGACACTGGGGGCCACGGCCTTGCTGTTCACATATCCCGGAGGCTACTGGGAGCTTTCAGCATCAGCTTCTCGGGCATCAGGAAGGCCTCGCTGCCCAATGAGTCCCTGCCAGCAGTGAGGTGGGCTAGGAAGGAGAGGGGACACTCTTTGTCTTGGGATCTCCGGAAGAATTCTGAGGCCCCACACTCACTCCCCTGGATCTGGGGAGATTGTGGGCTCTAGGCCTGACCCATCATACACTTCCCAGCCCCCTTCTTGTTTGAGAAGCAGCTAGTAATGCCCTCCCCAGGGGGGACAGAAGTTCCAGGGAGTCAGCCTCATCTGGAGGTCATGGCAGAGGCAGTGCTCCACCCAGAGGTGCGTGGTGTTGCTGGTGGACCTCCAGGCTGATCAGATTTTGTGTCTTAGATGCAAGCTCCTTCTCTCAGAGCCCCCCAACTGCCACGTTTTGACTGCATCCCTCAGCTGTCTCATGTTCACCTTTGGGCGGGCAGTCTGAATCCCTGGCTCTGAGCCCACAGACGGAGGGGCGGGGTCAGGGCATCCTCACTCGGGCAATGCGGGGCTGTCCCTGCATCAGACGCTATGGTCTCAGGCTGCGGCTGGGTCCCCTTGCTGCACAGAGCACTGGGGCGCAGGTGACCGTGCTCAGTATTGACGTGTGCCCTTCAGGCGTGGGCAGCATGGGCGAGCAGCTCAAAAGAGGTTTTGGAATGACTCCCAGATCTGGGTTCCATCTTCTGTAACTTCTCCACCGGTCCAATAAGCTGGCACAGCTAAAGATGTTCTTTCTCTTCAAGGGGGCTGGCTGGGTGGATCTGACTCAGTTCAAACCCATGACATCCCCTGCTGCTGGCGGCGGTGGTGGGTGGGCAGCGAGGAGGGAGAAGAGGCCGCCGCTCTCTGGAAGCACACAGTGGCCCCGGGAAAGCAGAGACACGGCCATGAACAGTTACACCTCAAGGCCTGGGCCGTGGGCTCTCGGAGCAGCTAGGCTGTAAACATCCCCATGTTCAGGGCTCCGGGCATGGTGCTTGTTAGCCCTGTGGCCTTGGCCAAGTGACTTAACTTCTCTGAGCCTCGCTCTCCTCATCTGTAAAATGGAGACAATACAGAGCCCATAGGGCTTTGGAGTACATTAAACAAATGACTGTACGTCACGAGTCTGGCATATAGAAGGCATGTGTCAAATGGTGGCCCCTGTCAAGGGCTTGAGGAGGGGTCCAATCAGAGAGCTCAGAGATAGGGGGTGGGGGTTCAAGCCCCACTGTGGGGAGTTCCAAGGCCCAACTCAAGTCCTTCTCCAGAAAAGCTTCCTAGAACCGTGTGTCCCTCCTTCCCCACCTCTCTCGCCAGCACAGATACCCCTCAGCTTTCAGCACCCCTCCCAGCACTGGGCCCTGGCAATGCAGCCTGAAGCCCCCTCATTGGGCACACCGTTCAGCAGTGCCCAGTCAACGCTGGCTGGGGAAACTCAGGGCTCCGTGGAGGGCTGGGCACTGGAGCTCAGTCCAAAAGCATGGAACCAGGGTCCAAGGTAGGGGGAAGGATAAGAAGAGCAGAAAGAGATCCCCGAGGCAGGAGCCGAGCAAAGGCTTGGAGGCAGGAAGGCACAGGGCCTGCTCAGGAAGCAGCCGGCCTCTGGTTTGAGGATGCCATTCACAGGGCAGAGGGAGACAGGAGAGAAGGAGAGGCTTCTTTAACCTGAAATCAGCACTCACAGTGGGCCGCACACAGCTCTCAGGGCTTCACGACAGCTCATTTGAGCCTCACAACAGCCTCTGAGGTAGCTATAGATAACCCCATTGTACAGATGAGGCAACTGAGGCCCAGAGAGGTAAAGTCATCTCCCAAGGCCGTGCAGCAAGCAGGTAAGGGGCGGAGGCAGGACTGGACAGCCAGTCTGGTAGGCTGTGGCCTGGTCAGATACACAGAGAGGCGTTGGTCCTGGGTGGGGAATTAAAGGAAGGCCTGTGGTCCACAGATGCCGAGAGTATCACACAGTCCCATACAGGGTGGCTGTGGGGCTTAGGAGGCCACTCAAGTAAGAAGCTGTTGTCACCTGTGCGGTGGGGCCTATAGGCAGAAAGCTGGGTCACAGGAGGAGTGTGGGCGGACCCAGCCAGCCGGGCAGGACCTTGCACATGAAGAGGTTTGGGCTCTATAACTTATTCTGAGCTCCCTGAAGACCCACTATTTTCTCTTCTGCAGAGAACACTTGAGGCTTCTGTACCCAGCTCTTGGGTGTCCTAGGGGCAGAGAGCCACCCTCCACCCCTCACCTCTACCCAGTGAGACCATAGGTGGCCCACATCTGTCTGGTTCGCATCTGTGTCCCCAGTTCTCAGTCCAGAGCCTGGCACATGGCAGGTGCTCAACAACTGTTTGCTTGGACGGACGGACGAATGCGACCACAGTCCCATCAGCCAGGTGGAGCTGCACCCCTACCCCCAGTTCTGGGAAGCTCAGGTTCTGGGCTCTCTTCCTGCTTGTCGGATTCCTTCTCTCTCACTTTTCACTTTGAGGCCAGCCAGTTCCTGGTTCCAGCCTCTGCGTGTCTGGAATTGGAAGCCTTCATGTTACAAAGGGCAGGGGAGAGGCCCTGGCAGGAGGAGGCAGCAGGTCAGAGCCAAGATGCCAGCTGCTCTTCTTCCACCTTGGGCCCTGTCCAGGCAGAACCTGTGCTCCAGGGACCAGGCAGGCCTCAAAGGTGTCACCTCCCTGGAGCCACGGTGTCGGCCCAGCCTGGTGCTGCCTCCTGTTCTGGCTACAAAGCTTCGTCTAAATTTAGCCCCTAGTCTAAGCCTGGGAGATTTACGGACCACAGGTCCTGTGGCCAGGCTGCCAGTCGCCAGAGAGGAATGGGGTGAGCTCCCTTCCTGCCTCCTCCCTCTCTGCCCAAGGTCAGGGAGGACTCCTCTGGGAGGGAGAGGATCCCTCCCCACTGTTTTCTCTCATTCACTGGTTTCACTGAGCCTGAGTTAGGGCTAGAGGAGGAAGAAACTCAGCCCTGAGAGAAAGAGGAGAGGAGGATGCTGGAGATGGGGAGAAGGTGGGACAGGGGAAGGGGGGAGGAGGGGGAAAAGGAGGTGCTGGGGGGATGGCAGGAAGGTGAGAAGGAGGGAGACCCTGGGCGCTGAGCAGACCCACAGGAGGCAGTACTGGAGTTGAGGCTGCTTGAGGCAGAGGGGAAGGGACCAGAGGTCATAAGAAGGAAGTAGGCCATTATTTTCTGGAGTATCTGGGCAGGCTTCCTGGGAGGGGAGACTAGATACTCAGTTCTAACTTACCAGGTGCTACACTTCAAGTGAGGACCTCAAAAGCCCCAGCAGCTTCCTGTGGGTCCTCCCATCCCTGAGGGGTCCAGCAGGTGACTCTTCTTAAGATGCCCACTCTCCCATCCAGTTCTAACAGCCAACAACTCCCCTGGAGAAACTTCCAGGCCTCTTTTTACCATGTGCTCTCTGACAGCCTGTGACTCTCTCTTCTCCATGCCTCACCCTTCCTATGCCAAGCTCTGGGCCCTCACGCAGATGTCTGAGGATGGGGGGACGTGTAGGATGGGGAGGCCCACTAAAGGGGGAGGCAGCTGGCCAGCAGGAGGCCCTAGAACAGGTCACTAGGCCTCAAATGATCTCCTTACTTATCAACTCACCTTAATGTCCAGTTGACCTAAAAGTCACTCCATTCTGATTTGTTTTAGTTTCTGAGTGTCCTAATTAAATTCTTGGAGAGGGAAGATAATCTGGAGTCAGGCTGCTCGGTTTGAATCCTGACCCTGCCACTACCAGAAGAGTGACCTTGGGCACGTGACGTCACCTCAGCTCCCTCATCCATAAAATGGGAGTATTGATGGTCTTCTCCTCTAGGGATTTTACAAAGCTTAAAGCAGGCAATGGGTACCAGGACTTAGGACAGTGCTGAGCATGTGCTGAGCCCAGTGTAGATGCTAAATAGAATAAACAAAATAAGCTTATTGGATAATCTATCCTTCCCTCTGGTGGATTTGAAATGACATTTTAAAAAAAATTAGAATTTTGAAGAAAGCGACTTTAGACAAACTGGCTGAGGATTCCTAATAATGGCTAAAATCAGATAAAAGTAGAAAATGGCAGCTAAGAGGATACAAAGTAGTCCTGTAATTCGTAAAGTGCTGCAAATTTAAGACTTACCAGGAATACAGAATTCGGTAAGCAGTGCTCTCAGACAAATTGGTTTTTTAAAAAGTACATAAACATCAACAAAGTGGCAAGAAAAAAAAAACCCAGAAAGATTAAATTAGATGATTGGCTTAGTCAACTACTCCGAGAGTAGTTGAATTTTAGGGAAAGGTTATTACGATTTAGCTCCTGGCAAATGGCCCTTGAGACCCCTGCCCACACCCTGCAGACCCTGGGTGTGTAGCAGAGGTGTGCAGGGCCCTGGCCTTAGTCTTGGGGAGGGCTATGCAGCTCAGGGAGGGTCCAGGCTTCTGGAGCCAGGGACTTTTCTTGTTGCTGAGCCTCCTTGGGCCAGAGCCCCCCACCAGAAAGCAGGACCTGGAGTAAGAGGCTGTTCTGAGACCTTGGGGGTGCTACCCAAAGGTCCAAGAGGCTGAACCCAGCCAAGAGGAACTGATAGACTCCTGGGATCTTCACAGAGGGTAAGTCAACTACCTCAAAAGGTTAGAATCAAGAGTTGCAGGATCCAGCGGCCATAGTACTTAGCCTCACTCAACCTCGGTTTCCACCTTCCGCCCTTAGCCCAGCCTGGTGCACGAGATAGGCTTCATGATTCCATGCTGCCACCTGAAGCAGCTTCCCAAAGGCTTCGCAGGGCAACCAGGAACACCAAGGTCAAGGCTCAGCTCCTCTGGGCTCTTGCAGTGTGGGCTGGGTCCAGGGGTCTGCCCCACTAAACTGCCAGTTGGAACTTCCACAAAGGCAAATCAGGGCAGCCCCCTCCCCTACTCAGGAAGCTTCCAGAGCTCCCCAAGCTTTTAGGACAGAAATCTGATCCCACCAGGGCCCAGCAGACCCCAAAAGCCTGGTGCCATCTCTTCTCAGGGTTGGGGCTTGTCCGGGGCCCTCACCCATTACTTGCTTTCCCCTTGGCCACCTTCCAGGGCTGCCCCATCCCTACCCCTGCTGTCCCATCCACCTCCACCAGACTTTATCATAACCCCCACACACTTTTCTTAGTTCCAAAGACCAGAGTTTATAAAGGCACACTTACTCCTAGCCATTATTTTCTTCCTGCCGGTGCCTCTGGCTGGGCCATCAACTCCAGAGGGCAGGAGCCCTGGGCGGGTGTTTTCACCTCCTTGTCCCTACCACGCATCATCCTCCTTAAATGCCAATTCAGTAAACGAGAGGGCTGGAGACCTGGCTCCTCCTGCATCACCTTCCTTCCCTACCGCCTGCTCTGGGTCCCATGTTCTCTTTTCACAGTGAGCAGAAATCTCAGAATAGTTGGACGAGGACCCAGAAATAAATTCTGTTACCACAAGGAAGCCTGTACTTTAGGGCCAGAGAGATCACAGTTCAGTTCCTCTCCAGGAGGTTATGTGCTGAGCAACTTTGGGCAAATGACTAATCTTCAGCCTCAGGCTGAGGTCTCCCTGGGAGGGTCTGGTTGACTCTAAGGGGCTACAGACTGTTGCCTCTGAGCTTCTCAGTTCTGACACCCCCAGAACCCAGGGGACCCTCCCACAGACTCCCTCCGCATTGGCCTGGCTCTGGGGCAGGGACCAGAAAGCTCTCCTTGGCTCACCAGCTTATGCAATTGGCATCATGGCCCCCAGAGGGGAGGGTCAAGGGGCAGCCCTGGGCCTAACATCCGGCTCTCTTGGAAGGCATGTATCTTGAGAACACGAGGCAGGAGGCAAAAAAGAGCTTAAAACTCAGGGGATGTGGGGTGGGGGAAGCAGGTGAGAGTGAACCCATCCCACAGCCTCTACTCATCCCAAGTATAGACTTCAATGTCGTTAAAAGAACCTGGCAGATTTCAGGACCATCTGCCCATGGGGGGGCACTGACCACCCCTCTCCTGCACCTGACTGGACCCACCGGGAGGGCAGGGCCCTTAGTGGCATCATGCCTTATCTATAGTGCCTGGCACAAAACCATAGCTGAATTTACTGAGTGCTTACTCTGTGCCAGGCACGGTGCTAAGAGCTTTACTCTATTATCTAATATAACCTAATATTATCTCAACTATTCCTCATGACAACTCTATCCAGTAGGCACTGATATCACCTTCATTTTACCCATGAGGAAACTGAGGCTTGGAAAATTGGAGTAACCTGTCCGAGGTTACACACTAAGCGGCAAAGCAGGGATTTGAATCAGGTGTGTTGGCAAAGCCACTTTGCCACAATGGATGCCCACTATCTCTCTGTTGAATGAGCGTTGAACAAATGAGTCCTCTGTGTATATACGGGACATGGCGACCCAGGCAGTCCCAGAGGCTGGCGTGTGGTACAGTAGGGACAAGACCAGGTTTTCTGACTTCTAGCCTGGTTCTTCTCCCCTGCACTGCGTGGCCCCGGGGCCCCTCTTGCCTCTCTGAACCCCTTTAATGTCTTGGCTCTTCATGAGAAGTGTGACTTAGGACAGATGTCCCTCCTTCTCTGAGCTTTGGTTTCCCCATCTGTAAAATGGGGAGAGGGTTAGAGGTGGACTCCTCCTGCATCTGTTTCTGGGAACCATTCCGTCCCAGCCTCACCTCCACTTCTTCAGCTCTTTCTGTATAGTCCCATCCCCCCTCCACCCCTGTACCCACCTGTACACCTTGACTCTGGCCACAGGCAGGGGTGGGGGGTGTGCCCACAGTTTTCAGAAACCCTTGGCTAGATTGGTCCTCCCGGTGCCTCCTCCTCCTCATTGCTCAACGGGGACTGGGGGTTGCTGCTTTAAGGCACTGAGAGGAGGGTAGGCAAAGGGTGGCAGGAGATGGGGGGCACAGCTCTGGTGGGAAGGGCCAGAACTGAGGCGGGGTGAGGAAGGGTGTGATGGGAAGATGGAGAGGGACCCGCGGGGGAGGGTACAAAATGGACAGGGGATAGGGAATGCCTGGACCTGCGGACGAATTTTTGTCCTAGAAATGAGTGTCACCTGGAACACTCTGCCCATCCATAAGGGTTTCCATGTCCCATCCTAGTTGATGTTAGTTTCATCTCCCCTCCACCTGCCCCCCCCATCCCCGCAGGAGATCTATCTGCACCCCCCCATCCCATACAGGGATCCCCAGCCTCAACCCGGCCACCAAGTCCTGAGATCTCCCCAACCCAGCTCCTAACTGGGCTGAGTGAAACCCGGACCAGTAACTAACTGAGCAATGAGACCCGCCTCCCACCCGGGAGCTCCGCGCTCCCGGGCGCCCCCACCCTGAGCCTGATCCCCATCTCCCTGCACTTACTTTGAGCAGCGGCGGGAGGAGGCAGAGCAGGCAGAGGAGGGGGTGTCCGGCGTGGACGAGGCGTGGGGGCCCCTTGGGACCCCCCATGCTCTCGGTGGCTCGGGAAAGGAGCGCACCTCTCCTGCGCGACGGTCCCGCCCAGCTTGCCCCTCCCCTCTCCCCCCTCTCCCCCAGCCGGAGCCCAGTAGGCCACCTCCCTCCCTACCCGCATGCGTTGGCCCAGGTAAGGCCCTGGGCCCAGGGACCATTCTCCCCACCCCCACCCCCACCCCAGGAGGGCGTGACACCTCCCCACAGCCTGCCCCTCCGGGTTATTTATAGCGGGTACCGGGCAGCGGCTCCTGCCTCCGCAGCCAGGGGCCAAGCTCTGCGTCCAGCCTGCACACAAGGGGTTAATGCCTTTTATCAGCCCGCCCCTTTTGCTAGGGCTGTAGCTTCCCAACTTGGGGAGAGAGGAACTGAGAAAGGAAGGAGGGGGCCTTGGGCTGTGGTGGCGGCCACAGCACAGAGTGGCTTAGGCGGGTCGCATCCCCACCAGGCTTCCTGAGGGCATCTTCTGATTATCTGGGGAGCTTTACCAGGCTCCAGTGCCTATTGGGATAATTGAATTTGAATGTGGCAGCGAAATTAAATAATAGTACTGTATCAATGTTCAACTTCCTGGTTTTGATAACGACACTGTGGGTAAGAGAATGTTCTTGCCTTTACAAAGTACACATTTAGGGATAAAGGGGCACCACGTTTCTAAGTTACTTTCAGATGGTTGGGAAATACACACACACATGCACACAGAACAACAAAGCAAAATGTTGATAACTGGTAAATGTGGGCAATGGGTATATGGTATAGATTTGATCATTCTTCCAACTTTTCTGTAAATATGAAATAAAATCCTAAATTAAAAAAACAAACACACAAACCCAGGGGCTCCTGGGTGGTTCAGTCTGGTAAGCATTGGACTCTTGATTTTGGCTCAGGTCATGATCTTGAGGTTTGTGAGTTCAAGGCCCACGTGGGGCTGTGTGCTGATAGCTTGGAGCCTGCTTGTGATTCTGTCTCCCTCTCTCTCTGCCCTCCCCTGCTCAAGCTCTCTCTCTCTCTCTCTCTCTCTCTCTCTCTCTCTCTCTCTCAAAGAGAAATAAACATTAAAAAAACAAGAACGACAACAAAAAAACCAAACAACAATGACAACAAATGCATCAATGCCAGACCCCCCACCCTCGGGGATTTTGATTATAGGTGGTGACGGTCAGGGACTCAGGCACTGGTATGTTTCAGAATGCTCAAGGATCCTAATGTCAAGGCAAGGCTAAGCAGTATTGGCCTTGGGTGGTGACGGGCCTGGGTCAGGGTTCAGGAGGTGAGGCCTGCTCTCTGGGAGCCACTGAAGCCGCCCTTGCAATTGTTCTAAAGGCGGGCCTGGTGTAGGGACTTTAACAGCTTAACCAGAAGTTCCAGCGTCTTAAAATGTGAGGCGAAAGCATTTGAGGAATGTGATTAGTGGGGCATTTAGCTTTTCCTTGAGGTTGCAGACAAGGTGGGGACAGGCCCGGAGAACTCAGCCTGAATTCAAGAAACTTAGACACTCTGTGTTTACTCTGGTCTCTCTGCCTGGGACACTCTTCTGTCCCTCCGCTCCTCCTCCCCTCCACCTGCTTCCTCCAGGCAGCCTTACTGGACTGCACCAGCTGTGGAGTGTGACCGTCCCCTGAAATCTCACAGGCCAGAGTCAGCCCCTGGCTCTTCCTCAATGTGGACTGTTCTCTGTCCCTGGGGCGGTTGAGGCCGGCCTCCAGCCAGCTTGGGGGAGGAGGCAGGAATCACTTCCTGAGGGCAGACCCTCCCCCTCCCCCCCATCTCCCCTCCTCTGTTTATTTCTTCTCCCCTCCCTCCTCTGTTGCACAGAGCCTAGCCCCAGTGGTGGTGGGTGGGGCGGGGGGACTCTTTATGGAAACACTGAGGAAAAGTTGACCAGATCTCTCCATTCATTTGAAGGTGACAGGGTAGAAACCCCCTTCCAAGTCTTGGGACAGGATATGGCTTGCTGGACTTAGTCAGATGGGCTTCCGGGCTCCTGGCAGGACATGATCGCTTGGCAGGACTCAGAAGGGTGGGCAGACTCAGAAAGAGAGCTGATGGGTCGGCGTGAGGTGCACCAGTGCTCTTCAGCACCTGTCACTGAGCATCTCCATGGCTGGTCTCACCATGACCCTGTTCAACAGACAGCAGAAGCTCTGACCTCAAGGCTGATCTCCTAGCCTGGGGAGTGTGAGGAGTATGCCAGAAGAGGGAAGGGATGTGGAGCCCATGAGGTGTGGGCATAAATAACGGAGATGGGAGCTGAGAGATGGTACAAGGTGTGGGGCAGCTCAGGGAGTGACGGACAGGACGTCAGGGGGAGGTGCTGCAGAAGCACCTTGACTGGTTTAAACAGATGGAGAAGGGCACATCTTTACTCCAGATGTAGGAGTCAGGGTGGGCAGAAGCGGGGAGCTGGGCAAGTGCAGGCTGGCTGGGCCGGGGGCCTGGCTGGGTGGGGACAGGGTAGGGCCAGGGAATGGGGGGCAGGCTGGAAGGAAGCTAGATCCACTCTGGTTCTCGGGGGATCTGTAGAGCAGGCACATAGGTGCTCGGCCGCAGTCCTCCCTAGCAGGGCATTCCTTGTTGGAAAACTAGAACTGTATTTTGTATGAGGTGGGGATCCCCAGGCATCCAGAGTTTACATCCCCCCATGCTCAAAGGCATGCTTAACCATTGACTGCCTGGTGCTCCTTTGGCCAGAGGCGGGTGAACGCCAGGTGTAACTAACACGTGGGGCTCCTGTGGGGTCAGGGGAGGCTGGCACTCGGCATGGCATCTCACTGCGGTGGGACTTCTTTGCTTTCTCTGTCCTGCTTTGCCCCTTCTCTCCCAATCTCACCTGGGAGCACTTCCCTCATGACTGTGAATTCTTATCTCACCCCTAGGGACCTAGGGGAGCCTAGAAGGTCGTGGAAGTCTGAACCGGACCTCTAAATGTAATGGGTTAAAAACAAACTACAACAACAATAAGACACCGAACAAAAACGGCTGAGCCTCTGGGGTGTCCTCTGAATAGCGCTTCTTGACTTTCAGAGGCTGTGCTGGTGGAAGAAACCCAGCTTACAACTGTGATCTGAGCAAGCGAATACAAAATTGTCATGAATACAACATTGTCATTCTCGAGCTTTGTGTTCCTGAGGGCAGACTCCAGGGCGGAGAAGCCTTTTTATTTTTGAAATGCCTTCAAGGCTCTTTTTGATTATGAAAGACGAACTCAGGGTGGTCTGGAAGGAAGGTGGGTGGTTTGCTTTGTAAAAATCAAACAGTGGAGATTCTTACAGTGAGCTTGGCATCCAAGATGGTGAAGGGGAGCAGGTCTAGGATCAGGGCGGGGGATTCTTCCACGGACTCAGAGGGAAAAGCGGGCACAAGGACTGATGGGGCTGACCAGGTGCAAGGGGGATGGGCGGGCAGGCCTTCCCCGTGGTGTGAGCGGTCACTGAACGTTAGTAATGGGGCTGTGATGAGCCTCCCTGGTCTCCGTCTTCAGAAGTGCACACCAGCGTGTGTCACGGTGCTTGGGGGGGGGGGGGGGG